TTATCATTGGAAAGTTGTGTTTTTTTAAACTTTTTGTAAGTTTATCTCTTTGTCTCGAATATTTTGGACAATGCCATACAACATGGTCGAGATCTTCCGGTACAGCAGATGAATAGTTTGCTTTTTTGGTTATTCCCATGCGCGCTAGGGAGGCAGCTAGATTGTAGTGATTAGCTCTACATCGATTTATTGTTACAATTTGTCGCTGAGTTAGACCTTTCTTAACGAACCATGGTTTGTCGCTGTCACTGAAAAAATTTTCAAAGTACTTGACTCCTTTAACTTTACCTATATCTCTGACGCGTGTGATGGTCTCTACTTTCGCTGTTTTTCTATGTTTTTCACACAGGTCTGTGAATGGTAATAATATTTTATCGGTACAGTTCATTTCAGTAGCTCGTTTTGCTGTTTCATCAACTGTCTCATTGCCTATTAAGCCCTTGTGTGAAGGGATCCAGTATAGTTTAAAGCTTAGTCTTGGGTTGGTTTCACGGAAAATGTTATACATTTTTTTTATTTCTAGGATGTGGGGGTTTGTTTTGGCAGTGAATTTAGTTGATTGTAAGTTTTCTAAGGCACTTAATGAATCAGTAAACACATAGAAGTTTTTTTGTGGGTGTTCAATAGCTAATTTAATTGATTGGAGGAGAGCAAAACTTTCAGCTGTAAAGATCGAGGCATTATAATCAATTGATTTTTGAATTGTTATACCAAGTTCAGGGCATAAGCAGGCAACCCCTACGGAGGGAGAGTCAAGTACTTTGCTACCATCTGTAAATATGGCGTATGCATTATTTTCAGATACGATTGTCTCAATAACAGCATTTGGGTTTGTTGATTCGGGAATGTTTTTCCCGGTATTAGTATTTATACCCAGCACTGTGTAGATAGTTTTGTAGTTGTGTGAGTAATTATCATAAAATCGATCGTAATAAGAATTAACAGGATAGATTTCTCTTATGCATGAATTTAACAGTTTGATTCTTCCTTGTTTGTTTTGATTTTCTAATAATTGAAAATATTCATTTATGGTTTTAGATGTTTGCGAGTGACTTTTTGACATGGATTTTTGTACGAAGGTTTTACATAGGGATTTAGTACGTTCTTCTATTGATGTAATTTTAGATTCGGCAATAACAATGTTGGTGGGCGTGCTTATACGATATCCTAATGCAGCCCTTATGGCTGCGTATTGTATCTTTTCTAGCTCTTCTTTTGCTCTGGCTTGTGTAGGAAAATATATAAAACTACCGTAGTCAATAATAGAGCGCACGAAGCTTTTGTACAGTATCAAGAGCGTTTCTGGATCGGCTCCCCACCAGGTACCTCGTAGAAATTTGATGATATTTGTTGCTTTGAAACATTTCTTTTTAATTAGTGCTACATGTTGTTTGAAGGAGAATTGATAGTCAAATGTAATTCCTAGGAATTTAACTGTTTCGCTAGATTTAATGGTATAATCATCGATAGTAATTTCTACGTTGTCTGGTTTAATTTTTTCGCTGTGTGACGGTGTAGGCTGGTCATAGCCTACACCGTGTATGCTTACGTCATCTCTCCCAGGCGAAGGCACACGGCTGGCATCAAACGCACGTTAAATTTCACGTGCCTGATGCCTCCTTCTTTATTCCAGCAACACCCGAGAGCAGAAGGCGAGGCCAGAGGCAACAACGCTCGAGTATTGAGAGTGTGAGAGAGAGAGAGAGAGAGAGAAAGAGAGAAGTAGTATGCAGTTCGGTGGTTGGGCTTGGCGCGCGGCACTAGTCGTGACCGGCGTTGCCGCGTGCCGCCGATTAGTAAATGAGTGGTGGGAGAAGGCGTGAGAAGCCGGCTCTCACGCACTCGCGACAGTGTTGCGACGCACGCATTAGCAATCGGCCGCATTGACAAAAGAGAGAGTTTAGTGACCGTAGTCGCACAGCCGTCTCTCCTCGTGCAGCTAAGCAGCCAGCAGCCAGGCAAGAGTTGGGCCGGTTTCGTTGTCGGCATATAGCTGCAACTCCCTCGACGAACCACCAGCAACGCAGCCAACGAGGATTTCTGCGAAGCCATCTGCAGAACCGCTAGCACCAGCGATACTCATCAGCAACGGTCAGGTTATTGTTCTCTCTCTCTAGTTCTCTCTTTTTCCTCGGCGATTGGTCATGGTTCGTGCTGCTGTGCCAGGCTCCCCCTTGAGCCGGCGCACTCTTTAGTTCAATATAATTGTTATTCGAGCCGGTTAACGAGGTGATATGGCGCTAACGTGTCGGTCATCTCGTTTAGCATAAGTGCACGTGTTAGTAGAGATAAGTGATTTGTATTTGTACTCTCGTCGGCACTCAAGGAAGTGTTTTGTAATAAACGGGTTTGTTAATGAGATTGAGTGTGTGTGTGAAGTTATTTGCCTGTTGTTCTCCTTGCTGCTTTGTTCGGAGCGACACACCGCCTCCCTTACCTTCCCCCTTATAAATAATTGGTAATAGTGGTGGGTTTATCGGCATAGCACGCCGACGCTATTACAGCTGTTAAAGTGAATAAGGACGGTTTTTGTGGGAGCTAGGTCAAGACCTAATTGGTATAAATTACTTTTTATGGTGGTTATAGAATCTTCTAACAGGCTTTTACATTCCTCAATGTTTGATGTTTTAGCGTAAAGAGCTATATCATCCGCGAATTGTGAGACTGTTATACTTATTTTAATTATAACTCGCGAATCACGACGTGTCACTCACCGAACACCCATTATGCTCACTTCTCTAATCCTGACTAACTGAATCATGACTCTATCTACTTTTTCTATCACATCATTTCCTCAAAAAGAACGCGACAGAAAAACCGCACTTTTCTGTGTATTCGCTAATACATATTTGTTACTTCTATAACAACTCAAATTCAATTGACCTAACTCTATCTTTAATAAAATTCCAGCAACCTTTACACTGTATATCGGATTATTCTACTTACAAAAGAAATCTAAATTAACACTGCACTATGATTTTAATCACTTTTATTACTCTAGCTACTCGATTCACTCTAAAAACTATTTTTCTACTTTGCTTGATCAATAGAGCCTCTAGCTACTATGCAACGAGAACATTATTATTATTTTCCTTTTTATTGTCGCGAGCTCCTACGGCTCAAGCGAACATTCCAGATTTTTTGTTATAAAGTGATTAACATACCTCGAAAATTTTTTTTTAATTTTATTTATGCTGCGCAGCGGAAGCGTGGCAGGGCCGATAACCTGTTAGATAAGGTGTTTTAACTAAACTGGCAAACACAATATTTATATATTAAACTATAAGATATTTGTTGATAAACTACAGAGAGGTTTTGTACTCGAGGCAACGTGTGTCTTCAGTTGCTGGAAGCGGAATGCCGCGCTCAGATAAAAGGCTCATAGAGAGGCACGGCAAATGTCGCTGAGTGCATGCGCACGCACACAAGCAACTCAACAGTTTTTAATTGTAGTGATTGCGTTTTATTTTGATACATTCTGCAAAAAATTATATTAATTTTACATATTACACCTCTGTAATTGATCAAAGTATTTTAATATTTCTATATTATAACGAACGGCATGTAAGTTCGTTATGTCTCTCTCTCCCCAGGAAGCCATCAAATAATAATTATCTATAATAATTAATTATCATGTAAACATGTTTAAATAATTGCAGCGTGGACGTCAGCGAACCGGTAAGTGACGCGATTATAGTTCGATTATCGATATCGACTCGCGGCGCGAACCTCGCGGAGAGGCGAGCCCTTCGAGGAGAGAGAGAGAGTAGGGACAAAAAGTAAGTCTGCTTCCGACCGGCAACGAACAAGCAACCGGCAACGCGAGCTCGCTAATTACTCGAGAGAGCAATTAGGTTTAATAGCCACACACGTGACAACCATCGACGCTGTTCCCGAAAAGCCCAGCGAACACTCGGTGATAGAAGCAGAGAGAAAAAGCGTAAACGCAAGAAGCAATAACGCGATTAACAAATCCTTTGTAAGCGAGCGCGCCGAGAACTACTTGCGAATCTACTGTAGAGCGACTCGTCAGTTCCAGCATTGTAAGTACCAGTCTGTTAACTTGGCTTCTCTCTCTATGGCTCTCTCCTCCTGCGTTGCTTAAATTGCGTATCCTTGTTGAAACCTTACCGCATAGTTGCTTATTTCTTTTCTGTTTTCGTTCGGCCTACGAACCGGCTTCCGTTATACGCGTATTGTCGCTTCGTCCGATTTACAACGAGCAAGTGCGGTTGCCGTTTTCATCTAAGTCGAGTGACCGAGACATTTCGACCGGCTAAAGAGCCGACACGAGTAAGCGGTGTCGCTTTCTCGTTCGAATGGTGCGCGCCGGTTGGCCGTCGCCATTGTGCCTAGCCGCTCTTAACAGGGCGTGCGCGTGCAAGTCCTCGCTGCGTAGCGTGTGCGCAGCTCGTCGGCTGCACTGAAATCTGACGCGAGGCTATCCACGCTGCTATTTGTACTGCGCGCGAACTACGCTATTCTATGCTCGTGTTATGAATAAATGAATTCAATTCACTCCTTTGCTATGTGTCATTTTCCCTCGATTCCTAGTCGTATATGCGATTATGCGCTTTAGCTTCTCCTTGGCTGTCGCGCCTTGTCATACGAAAGCTTACGACACTCTCCGCGGGCCAAGTTTTCGACTCGAGAAGGAGGCAACTGAGCTGCTGGACCCAGGACGTTCGGTGCAGGAGTGCCGATCTGCTCTGGAGAGCCATTCATCTACTTTTCCGCGGTTACTTTTATATAGCGTGTCCCGCTCGAGCGAAGCTGAGCAGGAACCCCGTTATAATATCAAATAACTAATACTGCTATAAATTGGTTCCAGTTCTGGTATAATACAGTCAATATAATAAATAAACAGAGGTAAATTACAGATAAAGCTAAATAAAACATTGAAGTTGTATGTACCAGCAAAATATCAATAATATTCATTTTTAATTTGTATTTTTTGTTATTCTTTGTCGAACAATTATTTTAATTGCAGGACATGGCAAGATAGCGAGAATAGTCACAGTAGTTCTTTAAGAACTACTGTGACCAAATTATGGTGATAGCGATAATTTATCCAAGTTATCAAGTAGCGATACTGATAGTATTATCAGAAAATTAAGACAGCCTTATTCTGATGTATCTGCAGATGATATATATTGCATGATATTTCAAACGGTAATACAATAATATTTATATCTATATTCTTGATTTAATAACTCTTTATTTTTCACTAACTTGCACTAATAATAATTCTGCCTAAAATCATATTATAAAAATATTTATTCGCTTCTCTCAAATTAAAATTATAACAAATAATCTAAATTATTTCAATCACTTTTCAAGTTCAATTATATTATAAAATCTTGCATATATATATTCTTATACTATTACACTATTATACTAGATACTCTTTGTACTTTTATGTAGCAACTAAGTGAATTAAATCACCATTTTTTTCAATATTTGGTGTATCTCTTGTTCTTTCACGTTCAAATAGTACAACTTACATCAATAATACAAATTCTTCCAAGTTATTTATAAAATATTTATAACTATTTCTGTATTACTTTTCAGCAACCGATAAAGGAATAGACGATACTTGTACTTCACATAGATTGACCATGTCGTCTGGTGTTAATATCTCAATCAATAACATTTCAAATACAACATTAGGTCCTGATGCAAATGTTCAACTAAATACAAAAGGTAACGCAGTATTACATTTGTCTGTATCTTAATTTCTGTTTACGTTGAAAAAATCCAGCTGGAAATCCATATGTATTCATATGGAACGTGTGTACATCACATATAACTATAATAAACTCATATAGTTTAAGTTGAACATATTTTTATACCTCCTGCACTAAATTACTTATAATTTTTGTAGATATACAAGCACATGTATATGTATATATATATATGTTGTAACGGGGTGGGTACCGTTTAATTATTTTATTCGCGCAATTCCACCGAAGGGTGCGCGTAATTACCTATGCTCGATACGTTAGTCGGAAAGTAAGAGGGAAACAGATGTCAGTCAACCAACTAACTACAAATGTGAGTGGAAGCAATACGGAATAAACGAGCCGAAAGCACTTGTTAAATATCACGAACGAAAACCTTTATTGTCTTCTTAAATACTACATCAGAATCGGCCCGCGTGTTTACGTTTACATCGGCGCTCGCTCGACAACAACATGCAGTGTCGGGACGCTCACTGCTCTTTGTTAACAGAGCTATTACATGCACGCTTTGAGCACGAGGAATTAATTATTACGCATGCAATCGCGATCGCGAGATTGAGCTGGCCAGCTTTCCTTTATTTAGCAAACGTTCGAAGACAAGAATGCACGATTTGCACTGCGGAAAAGTTTGTCTGTTCTTTCGTCGCGGCTCGCGGATTCGCGCGCACGTGGTTCCGCCCTCGATGGCGAACCTCACACACACTCTCGCTGTCGCGGGGAATGACGCTCCCCTCTGGCTCAGGTCCGCACTCGTTCAGGCACTTCAATCCTGGATCGCGATCTTGGCGGTTTCTGTATCGGCAGCTGACAACGTGACTATCGGCGAATACCTTGATGGTTAGTGCTCCACTGGTTCAATTTCAATCGCGCGCGTTCCGTCTGCTCGCATGCCGAATTCCTTCGTTACGTTTTTCGTCTCCCCGGTAGGTGCTGCCCCCACAGGCAGCAATTAGGTTATATTATTAACGCTAATTTGACGTTTACCGTCACAATGTATGTATATATATACATACATACTAATACATAAATAAATATATATACATACATACATACATACATACATACTAATAAATAAAAAGTGGCAAATAATTATCTGATTTATTAATCAAACGATATGAAGTAAAATCTATTCAATTAACCTTGGAAAAACACTATTAAATATTTTAAATGAAATTTTGAACTGTGTACTTTTTATATTTTTTTGACATTGAATAGTGTTTTTTGTGAATAGACAAATATAAATATCTGAAAGATTTTATATTGATGTATCTATATTTTTTCAGATCGCACTTATTCAGATGCCAACACAGTTGTTCATAATCGATCCTACAGTAACGAACAAAATATTGTCAGTATGATTCTTTTTATTAACATTGAATTTACAAATGTGTATATAAATTTACAAATGTGTAATATATTAAATATAAAAAAATTGTATTTTAATATATTAAATGAATATTTCGATACAATTATTGATAGTAAATGTAAAACTGATTTTGGTAGCTTCTTAACAATGTGTACAGTAATTAATATAACATTATTGCATATTTTTCAATTGAATAGTACAAATAATGTTAAAGTTTCAAATCTTTATAATCTGTATTTATGAATTTACAAAAGACAAATGTGTGCGGATAATGTAAAATTTAGTATAAATTTCTTTTTATTACATAAGAAAAGATTTTTTTCATATTTTGATTTTAACAAAGGCCTGTAATGGATCTGGATTTATAAAAAAAATCTCCCTTAAAATCCTCCTGGATTTCACATGGATTCCATCTGGAAATCCACTCTACTAGAAATTTCTACGTCATTTCTAATACAAGAAACGTGTCTAGACCTAGAAGAATTAACTATTTCTTATGTTGAACTTATCCTTATGCAAGATTCAAAGTAAGATCCAACGAATTTTTCTTACATTAGAAATAACGTAAGAATTTCTAGTAGGAAAATGGTACCTATAAGTACCTCTGTAAGTGAAGATATACATTGTCTATATTTACATTCTATAAGGCCTTAACTGAAAAAAGTGACTTTTTCGAGTTTCGGTTTATATCTTTGTTGCTTTCTCTTTTATGAAAAAAATAATACAAGTATTTTTTAATTGCCTATTGAAAAGTCTACAAAATACGACCATTCACGAACAAAACTTTTAATTTATTGTTGAATTATGAATAATTGAACCACCTGTTTTCAATAAATCATTCGAATAGAAAATATTGATATATACTCTGTTACTATTACAAAATTTTATAGATGATTCTGATATCCAAATCTAAAAACCGTGGATCAAATAGTTTTCTAGTTCTGGTCTTATAAATTAACTATTAAATTAATTATTACCGTACTTATGAAAGTATCAGATAAGATCTGACGTAAGAACTTACATAAGAACTTGTGTAGGAACTCTCGTTAGTTCTTTACATAAGATTATTTATTACAGTATTGAGCTAATATCACATGATTATGAAAACTACTCTGATGGCAGCAGTGACGAAGAAGAAGATTTCAATAATTTTCCTAATAACGCGAATGATAATGTTGACAACAGATTATATAAATTAGATGAAATTATACAGAATGAAGAATATAATGAGCTTCTCGATTTACAGATGGGTGTTAGTAAAATAGAAATGATATTAGCTATTCTGAAATATTGCAAAAAATATCATATACCAACAGAAGGAATCGTTGATATCTTTAAAATGCAAAATATGTTCCTTGATAAGAAGATTTTTCCTGAAAATCGTTATCAGCTTGAAAAACTATTCAATCCCGATGGAGGTAAGGAGTATCACGCTATATGCCCGGAATGTAAAGTTTATCTTGGACTATTTGGTAAGGGGCAGAAAACAATATTTTGTGAAGTATGCGATAGTGACGTAAACTTAAAAAATCCTTTCTTCTGTGATTATTTTGTTGTAATGAACATTAATAGCGAAATACGAAATCTTATCGAAGCAAATAATGACTTCTATATTGATGTTATTTCTCGACAATATGACGAACCTAATGTTTTTTTCGAGATATTTTTGATGGTGAGAGATATAAGCAATTTGTAAAATCATTGCCAGCCCATCACAGAGAGTTTTATTTAACTGTTACATTTAATAGTGATGGCAGTCCAACTTTTAAAAGTTCTAAATTTTCCATATGGCCAATTCAAATTGTTTTAAATGAAATTCCAAAAAATATTCGTTCTATGAAAACTATTACTTGCGCATTATGGTTTGGACGTGATAAGCCAAACATGACATATTTTTTGCGACCTTTCGTAGACTACGTGAATGAACTTTCAGAAAATGGAATAACATGTAAGCTTCAGAATGAAATAAGAAATTCGCATTTGTATGCATTGTGTTGTTGTGTAGACAGTATCGCACGTGCACCTATGCAGGGTACCGTTCAGTTTATAAATTATATTGATAACAAGTTTGGCAGAGCAATCCCTTAAATTTGGTAATTAAAAACAAACACACCACATCAATTATCGATAACGTTTCGTCAGCATGGTCACTGACCTCCTCAGATCTTTATTGAAAAACATTATATAATAATGAAATACAAATAAATACGTCAATACACAAACAATTAAAAGCTTATTTTCCCTACCAAATAAATATTTTCATTTCTCTGCAGTCATCTTCAATCAGTCACATAATCTGTGTAACAAAAATTTTTTGTTAAAGTCAAAATATGATATAAAAACATAGTGGTCAAAACATTTTAGTCAAATCAGTGATCACATCAATAGTTAAAACTGTACTGAAATGAACTTAGACTGAGTTTACAAAGCAAGAAATATTTAGATGTAACATCACTATTCACAAATGTACCAGAGTCTTTGGTTATTGATAGTTTGGAAAAAAGATTTCACCAAATATACAATTACTGTGGAATTCCATTTAAAATTGTTATCGACACTGTAAAATTCTTATTTGCTAACAATTTTTTCCAATTTAATGGAAAATTCTATCAACAGATTTTTGGTACATCAATGGGTTCACCTACGTCCCCTTTGTTTGCTAATTTAGCCATGGAAGATTTGGAAACTAATTGTTTGGCATTACTAAAAGAGAAATATGATTGCATTCCTTTATTTTACTATAGATATGTGGATTATACGATCTTATGTATAAAGAGAGAACATATTGAGATTGTATTGCAAGTTTTTAACAGTTACAATAATCATCTAAAATTTACACACGAACTTGAAAATAATGGCAATATCCCGTTTTTGGATTTAACTTTATCTATTAATGGACATAAAATTATTACAAATTGGTATCAAAAACCAACTTGCTCAGGTAGAATTCTTAATTTTAATTCTAACCACACTGTACAACTTAAACGTAATATTATTTTCAATATGGTAGATAGAGCCGTCCTACTCTCATATAAATTTTTTAAAAAACAAAACTTAGAGAAAGTTAAAAACAGTCTTATTAACAATGATTATCCAATGGACTTTATCGATTATTATTTTATTAAATTTCTGATCTTAGGAGTTATCCCTGTAAATAACTACACTCTTGTTTTTCTTATAAACGTTTCGCAATTCAATTTATTGCCACCTCAGTATACATCTGTTAATATAAAATGAATAATTTCAAAATCAAATATAGTAATAAATTAAATATAAACCTTCGTTTTTTAATATGCTTTGTATTGCAATGTTGATTAAAATAAAAATTATTTCCTCACATATATAACGTCAATATAAAATTATAACATCAATTAAATAATACAATAATTTTTTGTCAGTACGGTATAAACACATCATGTCCAATCAAAATAAAACTGATAGAATACGTTTGTATATGCTCCTAGTAAGTCACTCGCGCTGTATAAGAATAGAAAGAGAAAGATTGACTGGTCTAACAAGAGAGATATGAAGAGTGGGGAATACAAAAGAGGAAAAGAGAGATCAGATCATGTTAATCTCATAATACTATTACTAAATAGATTTAATGATGTTAAATATTCTCGAATATTGGTTGCTTAGATATTTTGTATCTTCTTGTGAATTAATGGTATTATCCGTAATTTTAATGTGTACTGATTCTGCGATGCATCTTTTTTTGTAATTCTGTTCTACATGTATAATTTTTGTGTTATCCCAATCAAATTCATGTTTTGGATTATTCACGATATAAGCTGGTATAGGTAGATGTCTAAATCTAGAGTTACTTGGATCTTGAATCGTTTTTTTACCGAATATTTATGTTCATTGATTCTAGTTTTTAGAGCTCTTTTGCTTTCGCCTATGTAGTTAGATGTACATTGTTTACATTGAACATTATAAACTATACCTGTTTTTTCATATTTTATTAATTTATCTTTATCTAGAACAATAATATTGGATAACTTGTTAGTCATTTTTGGTATGCAAACAAAGTTACTCTTCTTTAATGTTGATTTACATTTATAGAAAAATTCTTTTTCGAATGGAATTGGAAAGTATATTGTCTGTTTTTCGTTATTGTTTTTATTTTGTGTAATGTTATGACTGTATGTATATTTTCTAATGCGATCTTTAATGCACGAATTTACAAATTCTTCAGGATAGTCATTATTATATAATATGTTTTTTACAATAGATATATTATTGCTATGGTAACTTTCATCAGACAACAATATCGATCTATCTACCAGGTTATTAACAATGTTCTTTTTTTGTTTTAATGTGTGGTTTGAGTTATAATTTAAAATACGTCCCGACATAGTTGGTTTTTGGTACCAGTTTGTAATAATTGTATTATTTCTTCTAGTAAGCGATAAATCTAGAAAATCAATAGAACCATTAACCTCTGTCTCGTAGGTAAATTTTAAATGTGAATTATAATCATTAAATGTTCCAAAAACACGATCAAAATCCATGCTCTTAATGCATATTAATGTGTCATCCACATATCGGTAATAAAAAATTGGGTTGATATTAAATTCCTCCTTCAGAAAAAGTAAACATTGTGTCTCTAAATCCTCCATGACTAAGTCTGCAAATAATGCTGATAATGGGTCTCCCATCGAAATACCAAATATCTGTTTATAAGTAGTATTATTAAAACGAAAAAATGCATTATTGAATAAGAAATTAATTGTTGTAATGATTTCGTCAAACATAATCATCGATTTCTTGTGTAATTTTTGGAACCTCTTATATATGCTGTTAAGTATTAAATATCTAGGTATACTTGTAAATAGTGAGACTACGTCGAAAGATACCAATATATGGTCTGTTGGAATGTATATGTTCTCGATACGTTTTTTTAATTCAAAACTATTTTTAATGTGTGATCTAGGTACGTCTATGGATTCTTTAAGAGCCTTGTTGATCAGTTTAGATAGGAAGTGTGTAGGAGTGTTAACTGTGGATACTACAGGTCTGAGTGG